ATCGAAATTACAATAAAGAAAAAAAAAACAAGAAAGCGCTGTCAAATCTGAAGCAGTCATGAAAGAGCAAAGTGCCTTTCATCTTCACATGAAACAAATGTCTTGTTTGGCGGCTCGCCTCTATCTTTCTCTTCCTGTCAATCCCTCGTTTTCCATGGCACACTCATGTACACACTCAGATTTCTGAAGTAATTTGTTACACTAAACATTTCATGAAGATGCAAGGAATATAGATTAGCATAAAAAAAAATTGTCAAGAAAATGTAAAATTAGACAATTGCTGAGCAGAGAATGCAGCCAGTAATTAAAACTGTTATCATATTGTTTTTATATTCCACTTGTTGCTTAAATGGACAGAGAAAGTTGTTGCAGCTCCTTACACGAGGATTCATTCCCCTCATATTGTTTTCAAATGTCATTATCACAACCATTAACTTCAGTATAAGAAAAGTTCACTTGAGAGAGAAGATAATTTTTGTGTTTCTTTGATCATTTTGTGGAGAAAAACTAATATGTGAACACAGTGTTGGCAGAATCATGCTGTGGAGATACTTTTATTCAGCAAGGTCAGAGGATCCAGTCAGAATTAATGACATTATTGCTATAAGTTTTATTATATTGCTATAATACTGTTGCATATATTACAAATTATATTGCATATAAAAGCAATACATATTTAATACTATGAATACTTCATTCAGTTTGTTAGCTCAGCAAAGTTTTCTAACAGTAAGAGAAACCCAAAGGTATATATTATAGTCTCTTCATCCAATATGTCTTTTCTCTTTTTGCTGAATGAGTCAATGTTTTCATGGAAATAGAATCCATTATAAGGAGTTGTTTACAATCCTTCAGCTGAGCCAGATGATGGTGGAAGTCTGAACAAATTAGTCAGTATCTTAATAAAACCTTGACTTTATAGGGCTGGCCTTTCTTCTTTTGTTCAATTTACTGTGATTATTCACATATAATTATGATGGGAATTGAAAAGGCCCAGGCAACGTTCCTATGGAGGGTTTGGATTTAAAATTATTTTTCTGTTTACCAGAACATTTTTTTTTCTGGTAGGCAATGAGAAGATGAATATAATAAAAAATTATATAAGCTGAGCATCTGTTAAAAAAAAAACAACACAATTTGACTCTTATAATTTACGCTTTAACATTAATATGCTAAAAATATATATTAAAAAACTTTTATATTAGCAGTCAAACTTTTCTCGTAATTATGAATCGTTTTCCTTTTTTGCATGTGATCACAGGTGTTTCAAAGACTGAGTTTTGATGATGTGTTGAACGTCTTTGGGGTTCAAAGCTCTCCTTGCTTTTTTAGAGCTCTTTTAGCTCTTTGCATAAACTGCCAAACAGATTCGAGTGAGGAGTAGCGCTGTCAATCCTAGGCATTAAGATTACTTTCACTCAAAAATGAATGAATAGGTAAGGTAAGACCATACCGGCCAAAATAAAATGATATTTTACACCTACTATGCTGGGCTACAAATAATTTGGAATTTAGCTGACATTAATAAAAAATGTTTATCTCTTATTTTCTTTAAATTATAAAGCTATTCCAGGAAACAAAATCCTGGAACAGAGTACGCTATATTTAATTTTGTCTGATAGCTAAGTTCTTAGTTGATATCTACGCAGATTTTGCAGTGATTTAATATTTAGAGTAATAGTGTCTCAAACGTCCAACAAAAGAAATTTGAAAATGCAAGAAGAAATCGCTCTTCTGAATGTTGCTTATCTATGGATTAAATAGATTTAATACTGAAGTGGTTTTCAGCTTAATACAGAGAATCTGAAGCTAATTTATAATGTGTATTGTCTTCTGTGTAAATAATGACTCAAAAATGGCAGAATGAGAGTCATGAATATAATGTTGGAGCACCAATGTTGAGAGAGATGGTGCATGAATGTGAACAAAGCCCAAACAATTCTGACTTGTCAAAGACTTGTTTGGATCAGTTTTTTGTAAATATTTGAATGCATTAATTTAGATTAAACTTCTTCATTCAGAGAGGTTTATGGACTGGCTACCTGTCAAGGGCGAACCTCACCTCTCATCACTGGAGACAGGCACCAGCTGCCCATGTGACCCTGCTAGGATAAGCATGCAGGGTGGAGCGAAGGAGCCTAAGATCAGATAGATGTTGGACAGACAAGCAAAGGGAAGGACAAATGGCGGATGGACAAACCGATGGATGGATGGCATAAATGGATGGATGAACAGAAAAACTGGGGTGAATCTTAGGCAACCAGACAAATGGATGACAATGACAATTTTATAAATGTTGTACCAAAAAATTATTGATTGACTGACGAATTTACATGATTCTACATCCCGGTATTTAGTCCTTCATGGAGAACCTTTTCCCCAGCAGTTTTATTTTTCTGTTATTGTTTTGTTACTGATTGGTTTACTATTTTCAAAGAAATATTAACAATTCATATCAATTGCATTCCATTTATGATTGATTGAATGACTGAATGATTGAATAATTGAATCCAACCACAAGTATTGTCAGGCAGTCTCTGGTCTCCAGTTTATTTCAGCTCCTTTGTGCCGAGTCGTCACATTTGCTGGACATTCATTCCTCAAATTCTGCTGCTATTTTCCTTTCTACTCTGACATTTATGTGCATCCCTGACTGCTCATTAATGTCACTCTTTGAACAATTACAGAAGCCTATTTCTTAAATGACAACCACAATGCATGCTGCCTAATTAAATAAGCCATAATTTGTAAAAGACCAAAGCCATTATGATTAAAATTAAAGACAATAACAAAGGGCAAAATTAAAATTCATTTATGTGCCAATAAAGCAAAGTGCAGAACAGAACATAAAAAGAAGATAAGAAGCTTAATGCCTAAATAGTATTTTAAACAGAATATTTCTGAGGGCAATGAAACAAGCAAATGTATCTTTGGTGCTACTTTTTTTATGATTTTTGGATTTAAGCGTAAGGGAGATGTTGCCCTGGATTTGCACTAGAATACCAACATTTAGGTGACAGGAAGCATGTCATGCAGACGATGGGTTTTAGTGTTTGATGTATTTATGAGCAGGTGGAAAGAGAAAGCAGAGAAATGGTTGAAAAACAAACAAATGGTCAGAAGCACTCTCCCACTGGCTCTGCACGGTTCAGGCAAAATGCTTTTCAATTTTCACACACTGAAATATGAATCATCCTTCGATACGACATGAAACAAACACAAGCAGGGAGCATATCTACCACTGCTATGTCAGGCTGTATGTGTGTGTTTACTGCTCCTCCACCCCAGTGAAATACCCCTTCTCTCATGTGAAACACAGCATCTTGTGAATAACTTGAAAAATTGCATATCTACAGTTTTACACTGTCCAGAGTTCATATCTGTAATGTAGATGAAGAAAAATGTTTAACACATCCACCAAACTCACACACTCATTCATCAAACAGCTGAATGAGGCTGAGACGAACAATGGATTCATGAAACTATATTTATTTACAGTCATTACCAGCCTTGAAAAGTACACAGAACAAAGTGCATGCTGGTATTTCAAAGGCAGGCTTGCCCTACATATGTGACAGAAAGGTTGAGAAGGGAATCTTGTTTTAGCATTTTTGGCTGTGCAGCTTCTCACCATGGGGGGGGGTTCTTCTTTGTAAGTTTTTTTTTTCTGATCGTTTTGTTTGTGTGATTAAAAGCTGTCATAAAAACACAGTCTGGCAAGCAGTTGGGTTATCTCTCAGCTGCAGAGTCAAATTGAAAGAAATGACTTGTCAAGTATTGCATTTTGTTTTTGTTGAACCATTTCACACAAATTCTGAGTTTAAAATAAATTTCAGCTTGACACCTGAAATTGCATTACTAAGGTTTATCCTCTCACTGATATTGATATTGCTGAAATCCCTTAAGGTAGGGGTACCGCCCCCCGGGGGGCGTTCAGAGGACAGCAGGGGGCACTGGCGGAAATTTTAAAAAAAGGGAAGTGCTGAGATTCTTTTGGGGGATGTTTGCTCAAAGGTAAATTTCACACCTTATATGCACAACAACACCAGTTTACAATTTGAGCAACTTGCTGAAACAGTATTGTGTAAAATTAAAACATGCTTGGCTGCAACTGTGTCAATGGTAGCTCTTCTTCTCTTTAGTGTTTCTGTTAGCTTATTGGCGCAGCTCCGCGGTCCTGCTGCTGAAATGAGAAATATATGGCCTTCAAATGTAACTCGATCTGTGTACAAATTATTGTACACAGCTCTGCTTTTATGAACCATTTGTTATGAACCAGGAACTCTGTACTAACTGGGACACTTACAAATTCTTAAGGGGATGCAGATAACATATTCAGAAGCAAGTTGCGTTGAACTGGGTGCAGTCTTAGTTAGACTTCACCTGAAGTGCACAGTAGTCCAGGACACTAATGCTGATGTTGACAGTTGACAGATGTAGAAAAGGCAGATCACAGGATGCCCCATTAACGCTCCATTTTGTAGGGCTTGTGTAAGAGCACAGGCGGGAAAGACGAGCTGTAATTTAGGTAATTTTGTTCTACGCTTCTTCCTTTTCTTTAATGACAATAATTATCTGTGGAAAACATCTGTAAATGTGTTGTCTTCTTCCTGACTTCCTTTTTCTGGTCTGATCAGTGTCTTTTCCTCACATCTCTGTCTTAATCACCCATGTTTATTTTCTCCAGTCTTTCTTTACCCTCTCTTTTTTCTTTATCTCAGTCTCCTTCTGTCTCTGACTCAGGTTCATTCCTCCAAAATTAGCATATGCTTTCTTGAATTTCTACCCACATTTCAGAGAAAATTAAACCGAGTTCCTAAAATGTACACCCAAAGTAATCCTTATGGCTGATTTTATACATTTCAATAAAAATCACTACGTTCGCTTCCAATATATTTTTTTTCTTCTGTTTTGACTCCCCTTTTTAGCACAATACACCGTTTTCTAATCTCATTTGGAGTCAGAGAGCTTGAGAAAAGTAGCACAAAATTTGTACTCACCCCAGTGGTTTTTCCAGTCGACTGGCTGGTGATCCAACGATCTCCCCGAGAGTGCAGAACATCTGACCTAAAAAGTCCTGGAGGGAAGCAAAATTGAAAGTTGAAAAGAAAAAAGGAGGAAGAGCAAAATTCTGGAAGCAAGCAGAAAGAGAAAAATTAATGTTTATACTTAGGGACTGACTTTCTCCAGATTTCATGCAAGTGACAATCTCGAGCACTGGTTTCTTCCAAAGAACTTGTATACTTGTGTTCATTCAAATTTTGCAGACCAAACCAAAGTTTAAAATGTGCCTTGCACATCAGGCATTAATTCAGAGTGTGACATTTTCTCACACCATGAGTCAGTAACTGATCAAACCAGTTTTCAGTTTTTAATTCACCATCAAACATTTGTTGTTGGGGATTATGTGAAGAGGGAAAAATTAGAGTGGTTAACTTCTTCAATAAACTTAAGAAGCAGATTTTTTTTTTTTTTTAGTTAGGCATCTTTAGTTTCCCATCCCTAAACTAAAACCAGTGCCTTCAGAAGTCACATTAATTAACAGAGTCCTCCAGCGCGTCATTTATTTACAGCCTGATTACTCTTTACAGCCTGAAAGCTCTTGAACATTTCTTGCAGACAATTAGTAAGCAAACAGACCGTGAAGACAAAGAAACACACCACACAGGTCAGGAATGAAGATGTGGAAAGGTTTAAGGCATGGTTAGCTTATGGAACATCACAAGCTGTATTGAAGGACATTGTGCAATTGATCATCTGAAAATGGAACAAACATGGAAGAACTGAAAAACTGTCAAACCTGGCTATCGACATTTACTGACAGGCAGGGTAGGTAGAGTGTCAATTAGAGAGGCAGGTACTTTGGAGGAATTAAAGACATTTGAAACTCAAGTAAGAGAAATTCTTATCCCACCTAAATTCTAGTGCAATTAAGAAAATAGTGTTTCAAGTATCTCCTACAAACTCCATCTATTGTTGGAAAAAAGTAAGTAGGACACAAGGCAAACATGTGGAAGGAAGTGCTCTGATTAGATTAGGCCAAAGTTTAACTCACTGGTCTACATGTAAAAACTTACGGCATGTAAAAAACTAACACCGCACACCCTGCTGAAGACACAATGCCCACACGGAGGTGAAAGCATCATGCTTTGTGTGTGCTTGATTTCAGCAGTACAAGCTGGTCAGAGTTGATGAAAAAACTGATGGCACTAAGTACAGTAAGGGTTCACCTTTCAGCATCAGAGAAAATCTACACAGACAGACAGAGTTGCAATTCAACAGCTTAGATCAAGTCACTTTCCTGCAGTAGACTTTCCAAGTCAAAGTCCAAACCTAAATTCAACTGGTAATATGTTGCATGACATGAAATGTGAGGTCTACAGAGGCTTTCTGTCAGAACTATCTACTTTGGAAAGCTGCTATGGGCAAGAATTTTAATCTCTAGATGTGCAATGCTGATAGGAACAGACTGCACATCTCTTTTTATATTGCTGGTCGGTACAAGGTTTAGACAAGTTTTAGACATGTTTTCAACACTTGTGGTGTCAGAAATCTTTGGTTCTTCAAATCAAACTATTATTATTTTTTTTTTGTATTTGGGGCCACAGTGTTTCAGATGGTAGGGGTTTATCGTGTAACCAGTGTATTACCAGGTCAAATCCCGGCTCCATCAGTCACCACTGTCACCGTGTGACTGCGTCCATGAAGAAGGAGATAACTGACTGTAAAGTAAAGCACTTTGGAGTACTCTGACTTGATGAAGAACTATACAAATGCTTCATCAAGTCAGAGTACTTGAGGAAGCACTCCTATCCAAATAAAAATAAAACAGTTTGAAGGATAATAGAATGTGTAAAAAGCTGGAAACAAAGGTCTGAGTATTTTTGCAAAGTGCTGTGTCTACAATTCCACACTTATTGTGTTGTCTTACAATCAATATTACTGTTAACTCCTAAAAATTAAATTTGGTGAGAAAAATTAAGGTTTAGTGAAATCAAACACCACCAAAATCTGTTAAACTGACAGAATAATCAAAGGTCAAATGTAGCCCAAACATCTCCTGTAAAATATATATAGTAGTTGTTGTAAGGGCTATTAAATGTTGTGACTGTTCACAAATGATCAAGTGTCTATGACACTGTGAAATAATTTGGAGTGCAGCAGGTGGTCAGATGAGCAATGTTTGCAACAAGGATTGACCAAGAAAGGGAAAGCAATCGATGAGACTCGTCAAGAAACAAGTCCCAGTTTTACTTCTGACATGCGGCATTTCAGTTTGGTCAATATCTATTCTCTCAGTTTTCAGATTACCTGAGTATTATGTGTTATTTCAATAGATAGAATAGAATCATAGTCCAGGCCCAATTTATTATGGTCAAGAGGAAAAGTTTTATGCTGCACAAAGGTGCACTTCACTCCCAAAACATATGTTTTCCAAGGATGCAGAGCATCAGTTTTCCACATGAAAAAAGTAACAAATAAGTGGCACAGAGTACACTGATGTGTATACTGACCATTCTGGTATACCATAAAATGTAAAAATGGAAAAAAATCAAAAACTATGTCCACAATAAAAAATAAAACTTGCATTGTCTAATATGTTTGTTGAAATCTTCACTGTTTACCCATGTGGGTGTCGAAAAAAATTTGCCTATATGCTCCTGCACAAGTTTAATATTTGCAAAAATGCTTTATCTACACCTGAAAAAAATACAGGCAGAGTAAAACCTGCAGTATGTTAGCTCCCAGTGGCAGAATCATGTGAACTCATGCAGATGTTTGAAACCCAATGCCAGGATTAAACAGTCCCCAATTCTTACCATTTGAGGCAAAATGGTAAAAAATTAATCCCACTGAACCTGGTGCTTTGGGTCTTAAAAACAATTGTGTTTGTTAAATTGTTTTCCAACAAATGTAAATTCATATGAGACAGATAATTTGATGAGTACTGAACTTTAACCTGTTGCTACTGTGACACAGTGAGAAACAACCTGCAGTTGACCTTTCAGTTTGTTTCTTCATATTGAACACCACAGCTGTTTCACTGACTTGAAGTGAATACCAGGACAAACGTGTAAAAATAGTGAAACATTATGTTCCATGATGTAAAGCATGACCCAATATGAGTGTTACACATGGATCGAGATTTCTTAGATAAATATTTTCTGTTGTGAAAATGTTCAAACCCCTTGAACTTTTCCATAAACCTCCAAGTAATCTGTTGTGGTTTTACTGTTTGACAAAATGTGAAAGACTCCAATTGGCATAAAATCTTTGGCAAGGCATCACATGTCCTTATCAGCAAAGGTTTCTCAATGATCACTTCAGCATTTGCAGGATAGCTGGAGAATCAGACTTGGAATTTGGTTTTTATTTTGCAAGGTGAAGCAATACAAACCAAAAGTCCTTAACTTTGGCCTTGGTAGGCAGGGCCCACTAAATAATTCATCGTCATCCAGAAATGTTTTACATTTCACAGATATCTCTGCTCCAGTCCGCCTACTGATTGTGGTCCCTGTAAACTGTTGATGCCTGTGGCATGTCATCATGGAAATACTTTTTTCTATTTATAAATTACAATAAAGGAAAAAAAAAAGACTTGACAGTTACATTTTGTTTTCCCAAACACTGTGTCCTGTGTGTTTCTCTCTGGGGATTTGGAGATATTCAGTTGGCTTGCTTTGGTTTTCAGGTGTTCTAGCCTAATGACTGACACAGTCGTTCCCTCTGAGAGACAGATCATTAATGTGAGACAGAAGCCATGCAGTGTGAGTGTGAGAGGAGATGCAGGAACCTACATTGAGTTCTGCGGGCTTCCAGAAAAGTTGGGCGGCAGCAGCAACAACAACGACAGCAACAACAGTAACAACAGAGCACATCATATACCAAGGCACAACACTATGGCAAATACCTAAAAACTCCTGCTTAAATTGACACCATGCGGAGGAACCAAGACACGGAGCTCATCACAGGTGGAGCTAATGATGGAAAATGCAAACCCCCGTTATCCAAACACATCAAATAATCATTGACAATGATTATTTTTGCTCCAAACTTTTGTCAATGCTTTCTGTTACCAGTTTCCAGTCCTAAGTAAAAGAAAATCACAGCTCATGTGCTCCTAGTGCAAGAAAATCACATGAAGTGTAGCCTGTTGCACTGTTTAAAATGGAAACTCAAAATCAAAAGCATTGCACTATCAAAGTTTTTCAACTACCCTGCCACTGGATGGATACTGTAACAACTCAAAAAAGACAGTGGGATAGATATGGGTCTAAATGATCATTTAATAGAAGGGACAGTAGTTAACAGTAAACACAAATGCCATTAAAATCTAAGCCTAACAGTGACGGTTTTTGAAATGGATGAAAGGCCTCTCTGCCCAGGGCAGCACAATGTCAGGAGCGCCGTGAGGCAAAAGAAAGAGGAAACTCTACAACCCATTACCCTCTTCCGTTCATACACACTCACACGCACCATCCCCATTGCCAAACAAGCGGTATTGACTGTTTGCATGTTTGCACCTTCTGTGTCAGTCACAATGTGAGGTGAGACTAATAACATTGACCTTTGTGTTGGATTTACAACTTGTGGTTCTGTCCTAAGTTAAATCATTATTTCAATGTGTTTTCAGGAAGCCTTGACTATCTCTGGTTGCATATCGATATATAATCAGGTTGTTGGGTTATTCTGCTTACAGCACAGTCTGATTCAACAAATCAGCATGAACATTTTTGAAAACACAAAAAATCTTTCAATGCTCTCACAATATTAAGAACACTGCATATTGAGACGAGTATAAAGAATCATAGACTGATCAATCATGGATGTATTTATTCTACAGTAATCCCAGAAGTTCAAAAAGTGTTTATAAATTGTGAACATAGTGTGGACATGACAGATGTGTTAAAACTACTTTTTACACTTGTTAGATTTTGCCATGTAAAAGAATGAGAGCAAGATTAATTATTTATCTGAAATAGTTTTATGTAGTAAGGTATTTTGTTGTCTTTTCATAATGTTTGCAAGGCATTGAAGCTGTTGATTTGAAATTTGCGTTCAATGTCATTTCCTTTGTGTTTTAAGGGATAACTTTAAGTCTTTTTTGTCATGTTTGCAAAGAATATTTTTATTGTAATGTTTGATGTGGATCCAAGGAAGAATTATCTCTAGTAAAGCAGGGACTAATGGGGGTTGTTTGATAATAAAAACAGATCAATAAGATTTTTCTCTTCTTGTTTTTCAATTGGACACAGTGGAAAAAATTTCTTTCCTTACCAAATCGGCTTTTTGTTTTGAAAAGTAGAAAGAGGGTCTCACCCGGGGCATCATTCATGCAAGAACCGCCACTGCCCAACAAGATTGTATAAAAACAGAAGAATTAGATGCTTTTTCCAGCATTTGGATGCATGCAAAATCAGGCAAGTAAGGGGTTTGTTTTATTCCATCTTCGGGAAAAAATATCATGCTGCAAGCAACACCCACTCAAAACGTGCAGATAACAAAACAAAAATAATAATATGACTATTTCACAAGTTGACTACAGATTCATCAAGTTAAATCAAGCATTGACAAGCACTACATTTTATCTGTTACAGAGCATTTCAAGCCAGTAGTTCAGATTTTACTCTGGATTTGCTTCATTTTGTCTGTGGTTCAAGGTTAAATTAAAAACAAGCACTCACATGTTTGGACAGGTCTGGGCTTTTAGAGTCCACATCATATCTGAGAGAGAGGAAAAAAAATGACCAAAGCAGAACTTTTATTAGAGAAAATATGAACAAGTATTTAATTTAACATACTCTCAAACCAAAAACAACATGGAACTACAAAGGACTGCAGTCGCTAGAAATAAAATAGACGGTGTCATTTGTGCCATGTGCTTTATTAAATTTTAGTCTTTGGTTTTTGTTTCTGGTAATTTCAAGGTAATGCCGTCACAAAAAAATCAAATGAAGAAAAGAGACAACTCGCTGTGTAAAAGTGCAACTTGAAACTAATAAACCAAAGAAAAGAAGGAAACACAAAGACAAATACATCATATTTTAATGTGCTAAACAGAAAACCAGTCTGTTTGATATGGTGACCAGTATCAATTCAGAAGAGGCCAAATGAAAAGAACCTGGATCTGAGTATCTTTTCTGATGTTCCCATTTGTGCTGCTCAGTAATTAAGGATGGGCTCAATCCAACCTTTATTTCCTGAGAGGTGAACCTAATCCGATTTGCATGTGAATATAAAACAATGAAAGTGAGGGAAGGAGTGTATGTGATGGCCAATATCAAACATATGACCGAAACAATGGATCCTTTTTATTCAGTAATCAGGTGTGATTTATAATGTCGCATAAATCCTCTTATTTATGTGACGTTATAACTTCGATGAACTTACAACAACTATAAAAATACAGTCAAACACTTTAACACAAGAGCTATGAACTGAATGGTTTGACCTATAATCAAGATGAACTAATACATATTTCCTTAGAGCACATTCTTTCTTTTTTTTTTTTTTTTTTGCTCTGTCTGATTGTTTGTTGTGCACTGCAGATGTTACTGTCCTGAGGCTTTCTTTCCTAATTCATATACATTTTTCCACTCTTCTTTTACTACATAAAACTATTTCAGATAAATAATTAATTTGAGAAGAACAATAATTCATCTCTGCACCTCATCCAGAGTTACTATTATCATTTTGGCTGCTTCTCTACTAAATGCTTACTTTTTCTTGCCTGTCAGTTGTCATAGATGGCGACGTTCTCATAGTTTTGCAATTGTGGCGGACTCTTGCTACTACAATACTTTCCATTTTCAGGTGATGATGGATTGAGCAGAGCTTTGTAAGATGATCAAAGCTTGAGATGTTGTTCTTTAACCTAAACTAGAACATTTATCCCTGACCTGTCTGCTTCGATCCTTGGCCTTCATGATGCTATTTGTTTACTGATGTCCTCTAACAAACCTCTGAGGCCTTCACGGTACCACTGGATTCATAATGAGAACATATTAGACATATCTAGATTGTGACTTCGGAGGGCAATTCTTCCCCTGGTTTAGATTAAGGTGTATCAAAGGAAAAGGGGTTGAATTATGCACTGATTTGTGTTGTTTAAACCAAAATTAATGTATAAAGATTTAACGTTGTAGTGTTAAAAAAAAGTAAAAGGCTGTATCACTTTCAGTTTACATATTTAAAAAAATGATAATGGTATCAAGCAATAAATATCAAGAACTGTCACTCTAATTTTAAGTTAAACTCATATTTTCCTAAAGTCAGTCGTTCATTTAGTCTCTGTCTCTTATCTGGAACTGGGCTGCAGAAGCGTAATCTGAACAGTGATCTGCAGACCTCCCATTCCTGTAGCTTTCCCACTGGCATACAAAGGTGTTCCCAAGCCAGCCATGACACATAATCTCATGCTATAAGTCTTTGGTGAGGACATTATTGGTTTGAGTGCAGAAGGTGTTTAAAAGACAATACCATATTGCTATTTTTGTGGTTTATTCTCACTTAATTTACAAGAAAGAAAATGTATTTTTCAAAATATTCAACATTCAAAGACATAATGCAGAAAATAAGCTATGCAAGTAAAACATGCAGCACAGACATTTACATGCTATGAACCATTTTTCATGACTGAAATTTGACTCATAAGTTTGAAGCCTTTGTACCATCTGAACATACCGACAACATGGCTTGCATTATATTTTAGTTATTTTGGTTGGCATTCTCATCACTGATAGTAGACATAAAAGAGAAGAAGAAGACAGGACAAGACAGAAGATTATAAATAACTCACAAGTCAAAGCGGAGATTCTGTTTCTCCTCAAAGAAGTAGTCCAAGATGTACTTTCTAACAAAGTCGGGGTTTAGGGTGTTGTCTATCACCTCCGTCCTGCCGAACTATGAAAGGGAAAAAATAGTTGAAAGTCGAGAGACAGAAATGATGAATGGATACAAAAGAAAAGTGGAAAAACAGTTTTGTGGGTTTTAAATCAGGTCTTATTATTAGTGGCTGCTGTGCAAAAGAGCTATTTTTCCTTTAATTCCCATATCCCCACCTTCATCCCTGATTACAAAAAGATAACCCACTCATCAGAGCCCTACAGGAAGCAAGAGATAAGTAAAAGATCCTGTGAAAATGTGTAGGCAGAGAAAAAATAAGAGTCTAGGAATAAAAATGGCATAGGAAGTACAAAGAGTGGGCAGAAGAAAAGGGGGTATTACTCAAAACTAGGGGCTTTGGACAGAAAAGGTGAGAGGATGGGGTGGAAACAGCTGAGCTGGAGAAGAGTAGTGATTAAAGCTTCCTAATTAGCAGGATTTTCACGTCCAAGGTGCCAAACGAAGGAAAATATGGCAAGAAAACACTTTTAAAATGCCACAAACCTTGCATGCTTAAACACAATTAGTTGAGCAGAGTTTCACAGGAGATGGTATCAAGAACATAGAAAATATTTTTGCAGAAATTTTATATAGCACTAGATCAAGAAATTAACAACATGAAAAATGTTTACCACATCCTGTTGTATCTCTTGCTGAATCTGATTTTTTTAATTTATTTGCCACTCTGAATTTTGCCCATAAAGGCTTTCTACTATCTTAGAATCTCTCTTTTTTAATTGTCTTTTTTTTAGTCAATCCATACCTTTTGATGAGTACGCTCAACTTGATATTTTACCTCTGCATGGCAAAATCAATAATGGTGATTGTTGTGGCCTCATTCTGTATTTTAACCTTTTTCAGTGAGAATGGCAAGAGGTGTATTGTATTGTAAGATTGTATTATAAGCCAGTATTTTATTACATGCTTTGAATACTATGATGCATCTAAAATATGGCTATTTACCAACATATTTTTAAAGATTAGCCTACAGTGTGATGAAGAGGAGAGCATAAACTTAAGAGCGAATTTGCCTCAAAATGAAAATGACACTTTGAGTGACAGCAAAAGAGAGACAGAGATCGTGTGTGTGAGGCTGTTCAGTAGACGACAAGCGGTTTTGGAAGATGAAGATAACGACTGATGACTTTTTCTCATAGGCTGCTGTATTTTTTTTAAGCAGCCAGGTTTAGTATTTATGTCTGTTACAAGACATAAATACTAATTAAAAGTTTTTTAAAAATCTGTCTTAGTATCTCATGTTATAACCTGGATACCTGCAGCTTATAGACAAATTGGCACTTTGGAGAACTTGACACATTGTTTACTATCTACTTGCTTGGTTAAATACCTCTTTTTCCAAAGAAGCCACTAACTGAATTGTATAAGTGGGAAACGGAAATAAAAGGCAGAAATTTAATTTGATGCACCTTGAATCTCTAAGAGACCCCGAGGTGTTGATGAAGGTGTGAGGACATGTTAGTAAAGAGGTGGGTGATGGTTAAAGATGTGCTCTGTAATGTGATTTCCCCACTGAGTGGAGGAGACAATACTGTTCTGCAGAGTTCATTAGATGCCGCTTGACTACAGGAGTTGGCTAATGAGAATCTGGCATGAAGTCCCTGAGTTTTCACCCTCGCTATCACACACATACACAAACTGAATCACCACAGATGTGTTGCACATGCGGATAACGTGGCAAACTGAACTCTTCGGGCAACAGCTAGATTTACAGCATCTGATATTAGAATGTGAATATGCTTCCAAAAACATTATCACACTGTGGGTGTTTTTTTTATGTGTGCCTGCCAAAGTAGGGCAATAAAAAATGCAAGGATAATTCTTTGCCTTGGTGGTGAGACTTCAGTCCCAAACTTGACGAAAATTTTATTATCTTCTTCCCCAGAGCACACACAGACCACAGCTGGGGATTTGTGTTGTTTCTTGGACCAACATGGGATGTTACTGTCCTCATGGGTCGTTGAGGAGTCGGTTGCATACTGCTGCGATAATGAGCTTGGCGGTTTCTTCTGCTTTTACAGGCAGAGGTAAATGACACTAGTGTGAATTAGTGTGAGACAAGCCTCTTTTTCAGCTCAGTCCTTCGCTTAACAAAAGCAACAATTTCTCAATAGCAACAAAAAAAGAAACACACTGCAAACAGAAATAGCATTCTGTAAAACCCCAGGAATAAAAGAGCGTCGGGACCATTTTTATGGAAATGCTAAAAGTGTTGTGTGTCTAAATGAGAAAAAAATAATCCAGGGGTTGGTTTAAACTTTGAACTTGAGCTGTTTTTGTATGAATTTTACAGATAGCTGCATGGGTTAGAAATTTATCTGCTTTTAATCTACAATGGATTTATAAATATTTTCCACTGAACCAAAATTATTAAACTTTCTGCAGAAAATAGCTGCTGGTTGAGTGCAATCAGTCAAAGTAAGAAATTGCCTTAAAGTATTTTCAGATCAATCTGGAGCAGCGCCCTGTGGTGTATGGGGTAATGTCCATCTGGAAAAAAAAAGACCAGAGGGCATACAACAATCTTGGTCATTTAAGATAAGCCAAAAAGGATACACATAACCTTTATCAAGAATCTGCTGCATGAACTACTTCCTGGAGGAAATGTAGTCATTTATTGTGGCCGAGACTTGACCTATGTGCTGCAGGTGCTGTCAGAAAATACTTTGCTTTACGGTGCCTTGAGAAAGTATTCTTACCTCTTGAACTTTTTTCACTTTTGTGATGAAGATTATCAGTAACAGAGAGAGGAAGTATTGTTTTATGTGACACCACTAAATAAAATAAGTAGGTCACTCATCAGAGCAGTGAAGCTTGTTTGTGTTTTACACTTTTTGGATAACTTTGAGGTTGATAATTGTTAAGAGCTAAAAAAAAATATGACTTTGAAAGAGCCATTCAGTTCTTTATCCTGTTTTTTCTCTTTTTTTGTTAGTTCTCAGAGTGTCCAAATGAATATTCTGTGTCAATGTTCTGATGAAACATTTGTTACTTTGTGTGCCTTTTGTGGCAGCCATCTTGAGATCCTGCTAAAGAGGAGGCCTGCCTCAAACCCAGCTCTTTTATAGGAAGTGTGGTGATAAGAGTTGGCGTTTGATTGGTTGAAACTTAAAGTAATTAAAAGAATAAAATGATTTTGCTGAAATTGTGCATTTGCATACATAAGATATTTTTCTGAGATATTATTACTGATATGTAATTCTTTTGTATTTACATTATGTATGTGAAAGTTAACTTTGTTTCCTTCCCTTGTTGTAATCATAGTGACCACTCAAAGCATTATCACACAATAATCTTTATCCACTCAGCCTGTCTCACACATGCACACCATGACAACAAAGACAGTAAGGAACTGCAGGTTCAGTGTTATGGTCAAGGACTCTGACAATTGGCAGGGGAAGGTTTTCCAAAAGTGTTTCACATTTTAATGTCCAATAAAATGTCCAAATCCAAATGGTTCTGTGGGTAGAGATGCTGTCTTGTGATCAGAAGGTTGTAGGTTCAGTTCTAACATCCTCCTGGCACATCTCAATGTGGCACTCAAACTGGCTACGCATTGAGGTGAATGTGACTGTAGTGTAAAGTGCACTGTGTGGTCAAAATGATTGGGAAATCAGTTGATAAGTTCAGACCATTTACATACCCACATAGTGTCTTCAGACAGCAGGGAACTGATTCTCAAGTTTAATTTTTCCTGGGCTCAGAATGTATCAAAGCTGTCCTCTTTAACATCAAACACAGACCCCTTTTTCTTCATGAAAGGTAAATGCCAAGATGGCCTGTGCTGAGCTGCAAAAAGTCCTTGGTGCATGACAATCCACAACTGTACACCTATAGCTGTTTCTTTTCCCTGTGTTGAAAAGCAGCCAAACAATGAAAACCTTCTGTCACAAGATTTACTGACCAGAACAAAGACAGCCAGAATCAACGTTAACTCTTGCAGATTTAACAGACTTGAAAGGTTTCAATGAACTTGTTGCTTCTTCTCATCAAGACTCTCATGTTAAAGTATTTTTTCACAACTACAGATTTTTTTTTCTCTTATTTATAACAAAGTTCCACTATAATTAAATACATAAAACAAGAAATACATTTAGGTATAGTTGCCCACTCGTGTGTTGTTTTGTTGTATCTACTTTAAACCCGTCTCTGTGCTATTCCCTGGATAAGCAGGGAATGTTGATACCCGCCTACATTATTAGGGCTATTTACAAAACAAACCAACAAATAGATCATATGTCAAAGAGAGAACTGGAGCTAATACTAAATAAGCTACATAAACTAAGCAAGTACAATGAGGATAGTATTAATCCCTCAACAGAGAGCTTTGTAGTCCCCACAATGCCAACATATTGATCATCCCCTTCATTTTTATTTTTATTTTGCTTTAAAGCCCCAATTTGGGGTATGTTTCTCTGACATCTTCAGAAAAATTATGCTTGAGAAGCTGTAATAAATCAGTATAATAAACTGCTGTAAGCCCACAGTGAAACAGCTACTGAAATGACATGTCTTACCCAAAGTACTTCAGCTTAATTAGAAAGGATTAATTTCTTGTATTTTTTTATTTATTTTTTTGCTTTGACATATGTGTGTGATTGTGTGTGCACTCACCTCTCGCCACTGTTTGGTTTCAACACCCTGCGTATACAGTACACACACTGTGGGGTGGAAAAAGTACAAAACAGCAATAAAAATAATACATTTTTTGCAGGAAACATTAGAAACATAAAAGAGAGAGAAAGACCAAGTAAAAGATGCAGCCTGTGCAAACAAAGTGGTAATATAAGAAGTTGAAGTCAAATAATTGCTCTTAAAGTGAAACAAAGATTTTCAAAAATCTTTTATCTGGAGTATGCAGTTTTTTTATGAAAAAAAAAATAATAAAAATGTTGTGACAGTAGAAGATAAGACAGACAATCTGTGAAAAAAAACCTAATTATTTTCCTTTCTCTCTGTGGTAATGTCATCTTCACAAATACACACCAAAGACAGTGGATAAATGCTTTTTTTGCTGAGACTGGTTGTTTCTCTGCCATTATCAGGTTGAGCAGCACGTACACAAACATGATTGAAAACTTCATCCTGGCTCTGATTGGTTGTTTTTCACCGGGAGTGATGCTCGATCATTTCACATATTATGTGTCATACCATACTGTCACAACTTGGTTATAGTGTTAAGAAATATGTAAAATAATAATAATAATAATTAAGGTTACAAACAGAAAGAAACAACATAAAAAAAGCCATACAGCACAACAAGCTGACAAAAATATTTTGTCTTTATGAAGTACTTACTAGGATCAGATTTTGAGAAGGTGTCTTTATCCAGCAGATTCCTGTTGGAAAAAGAGAAGATAATTGAAACACTTCATACTCATTCTGGGTAAGTACGTAATTAAAGGTTAGCGGTGAAACTAAGATGTTTTTAAGATCAGAAAATCTGAAAACCTTCAAAGTTTTACTTTTAATGGCATTTATTGCTATATTCAATTATTGTAAAATGTCTAAAATTCAAATCTTGTACAAAACTTGCCTGATAGGCATCTATTCCCATGTATACCAAACCAAAAAAATACAGCAACATCTCACACATAAGAAAATGATCTAAAATCAATATGGTAATCTGGAACAGCCTTTTTAATTAGTTGTTTATGCAACAGAGGAAATTAAAGTATGGCTTCATAAAGTCATTATTGTTCTCTAATTCTGCCTCTTGTTTGGCTCTCAGCATATTATCATATTTCAGACAGAAAAGAGGAAACCAATTTGCATCATGTATGGTTTTCAAACTAGCTATTTGTTTCTCATCATCATTTTTTTCCATTTATTTTTTTGTCTTTGGTCAGGCATGTTTTCAGTCATTCTGACGGTTGGACCTCTGCTGGCAGTTCTGTAGAAAAGGAATAAACCTCTAAGAAATAATACAACTAAAGTCATGAAGCAAAAATGTAATTTAGAAATAGATTAATTCTGTTGAATTAGAGACACCACTGCCTTTCTTGGTCAAAATATAAGATGTTTCATTTAGGGTTAGATGCAAGAACATGTTTCCAAATAAGTATCCAGAGACTTGTTTGTTAATGTGTTGGATCAGCTCCCTTTTCACTATTTGTCTATAAATACCTCCTGATGTGCACTGTATTGCACTCTGGGGAATTGTTAGTTTCTCAATTTGTTAAATTGAGAAACAGACATGATAAAAATCTGTTGGCACTGAAATATTTGTAAAAATCTGTATTACAGATTAATCTTTGCATAGGGGGCTGGTCTTTCTGGGCTGATGTTATTTATATACTCACATTTAAATGTATAATAAGAAAACTTTTACTTAAGAATAGATAGCTTAGGTTATTTACTTCCGGTGTAGGGTTATTATTATATAAATATTAAGGTTTAAAGGTGCAAGTGGGGTCAGTGCATCCCTACTGGATCTGCGCACAATGTAAACGCAGATTACAATCAACCCAACCTATGACTGCTGAAGGGTTAAAGTCAAGAGATAAAAAAACATTGGTCAAACTTTGAAAATGGGTGTACAGCAATTATATAGAGATGGAAGTTTCAAATTTGTTGTTAGTATTTACACTGCTGTTTATCTTGTATCACACATCCAGCTGTATGTAAAAAGAAAAGTGTGTCCCAACAAGCTCATTTGTGCATTCATCGGTTACAAACTAACGTTACCAGCAGCAACATTACACCAGAAAATTGCAGGTTTTGAGATCCTGTACAATGGCTGCCTGATTGCTGTTGTGCTTAGTCTGTTTACTCAGCTGATTTGCTCATCGCCCTCTCAGTGCAGTAATCCTAACTCTTTTAAAAATGTATCCCCCCCCAAAAAAATGAATATGTAGCTCTTTTTCTGTGAAAATGTGAAATTTGAGCTTTGAATTAGAAACAGTTCAGACTTCATCTGGTCTTAATTCACATTTCCTTCATCTGTCTTTCTCTAACTTAGTCTGTGCCCGTATTTGAGAGTTCTCCACTTCCATCAGCCTCTCTTGACCTTTTTATAACGTCTGCTACGGGGCTTCTGTACCCAGAAGCAATGTCTTTCTTGTTTTGTTTTGTTCACAGGGTCACCACAGTGACATGAGAGCTCTCACTCCAGGTGCCAATGCCTGCCGGCTCCTCCAGGTTTTAGTTTCTGCTTCTGTTTCTATCCTGTTTCCTTTTTCCTCCATTTGCTATGAACCATCGGCTCAGCTCTTTCATCAGCCTCGGTCTGTTTTGATCTTTCAGCTGTACCAGTCTCAGTCCCTCCATCACAGATTTTAAGATCAAACTCTGTGAGTTGTTTCAAGTCAGGAAAGAGGCACATAAAGACTTAAGATATTGTATTTTTTGTCATATCGTTCACATTCAAAACGTCTGTTGAAACTGTGATGGGCTGTGACTAAAGCAAATTTTTTAGTTTGACTTAAAAAGGAAATGGTTGATTTTATTCGAGTAACATAGCTGTCAAAAATTTCTATACCACATTTTTTATTTTATTTGATCCAACAGAGGCAATTTCAAAAGAAACATTTTAATCGGCCAATTATTTAGGCTCGCATAATAGAACGTCTCAGCAGTGTTTGTTTCTGATAACTGGCAGTGTTGCTAAGTTTAGTTTATTCAAATTACGTCCAGATAAAAATGTGACTGCATTTGGACTATTTCCAAGCACCAACTCTAGCAGCTCTCAAATGTACATAAGCTTGCATTGTGAGTCAGTAATTCAATTCAAGTCATTCTTTGTTATTGCTGAATAAATGCATACAGGTTTTCCCAATGTTACGTACAATAGAAAGCTGTATATGTTACAACACAAAACAAAGGATCAATAATAAATTCAGATTAAAGTTTTAGTGAAAGTTTTGACTATTTCAACCAAAATGGCTCCATTTTGGTAAATAAATAAATAGAACCCATTTCTGCTCTGAGATGAAACTCTTGCTTTAGCGCTCTCTATCATACATATAAACCAAAATGACAATCTAGAAACCAGATATTATTCATTACTGGGTTAACTGGCCCTGATCAATGACTTCCAGCTTGGAAATCTAAAAATATGGCGCATTACTCCTCTGCACATGCAACAACAGTCTACGCCGTGGAAGTTGGTCCAGACACTAACAAGAAGAAAATGTTTGTTGTCTGGATCAAACACAAGGAGGCTACAGTTTTACTATTGCTGTCTGCATCATCCACTTATTAAAGGTAACAAAGAGAGTGTATATTTCCCACTAAATGATCATTTCAGTAATTATCTGTTACCGACTGCTCCCTAACATAGCAGAGTGATGTTCTCTATGTTCACAATATAAATTATTTGTGACCTCTCACTGAAGCGTAGCTAAAAATCACTTCAGTGCTCTTCTGAGTAATTGAGCAAAATTACAAAAACTACAGATCTGGCCACACAATTCTGATTGATGTATGAATATTCAAGACATTCACACTGATATTCTAATTCAATTGGTCATAAGTCATTCAAATTTACACCTGACAGATGATTTTAAATGGGTTGCTTTCACCATAGTAACAACCAGAGTGCTTTCTTGAAAGAAAAAAAAACAGAAGCAGCCCCATTCAGAGGAACTGATGAAAAATAGTGCAAAAAGTTGTCTGTGGTGTTTTTAATCTAAAACAACAAATTGGAAAAATAAATGTAGTGTCAACACTTAAGTCTAGTCAAAGGAATTGTTCTCCATTTCTCTGCAGAGCATAAGCAATGCTCATTAAAGCTCATGTGCCTCCTCAGTTTACTCCAATGTGATCTATCCTTACAAAACCTCTGTGCCTGTTTATAGGTTGTTGATGGCTACATGCTGGTGGTTGACAGCATTTAAATGACTGAAACTCGCTAAGAACATGAGAAAAGACGACAAATAAATTTAAGGATGATACAAAGCGAAAACGTTTATGTACTAGAAGGTCAAAATTTGATAGTGCTGCGAGTTTAACAAAATGGAGATGATACACTGCTGGGGAAAAATACCTTAAACAGATGTTTCATCTAGAGTCAAATCGAGTTTGTTTCTCGTGAGTATCCTGTTGATGAGAAAGGAATCTCACTCATGTCCATGGAAAGTTGCTCTATTGCTTTGGCATCAAAAACCTTTTGTACAGTGTCCTGTTCAAACAAGTAGTTATTTTGTATCTTTGTACATTTCTAAAATTACAAAACACTTGTTTCTTGTTAAATCATCAGTTTGTCCTTTTTTACTAGCGGTGCAATATAGCAGATGGGAGATATTCTGGATGTTCGGTTTCTTTTTGTTTTCAGAATGGACATTTGATGCTTCTATTGTTCCAATTTAATTTACAAACACACTAATAGCCCAAGGAAAGCATGAGACTCTATGTAGCATTTCTTTTTTTACGTTTTCATTTTTAGCTCAGAATCCAGTCTGTGTTGAAATTTCCTTACTCTGTCATCACACATTAGAGGGAACTGTGAGTTCATGAGAAGGTTGGCTCTGAAGCTGTCCGTGTACATAGGAAGATTAGATGCAGAAGGTCTGTGAATGTGAGAAACAGCTTTTCTAATAAGCCTCACACCCACCTCTGTGAGCCATGTTGGAAAGGCTAATTAACGCAGTTTGTCTCGAATATTTGATATTGTAAAAATTTAAAGGAAACCAAAGAAGTTGAAGAAGAAACCTTTTTTTTTCTTTATTTCATGAAAATAAAGATGAAAGTATGCTATTCCTTCTTCTAATTTCACCCTGCTTTTCAGAGTAATTTACATTTATAGTACAACAATTTTCTCAATCAAGATAAAAAATGGTGATTTAAGTTTGGTCATCTTTATGTAAATTTGAGTTTAATCTTTGTGTTTTGTCGTTGCAGACGTTATCACCCAATCATGCAAGAACCGACCAGTTGTTCTTTCCGTCTCTCCACGTCTTTCCTAATTTAGTTCATGTTGTTGGACACTTGCCGGTACAGATTGAACCGACCCATATGTCCTCCACTACTGCCTCCTCTTTATCTCTGTCATTTCCACCTTCTGTTTATCTGCTGGCTGTGTTTCATTCCTCTAATGGCCCCACCATTATCTCTCATGGTAAACAGAGCCTCAAACCATCTTCATCCTGCCGCTACTCTTCAGTTTTCTTTCTTTTATTAACAGATATTTTGATTTTAAAAAGAATACAACAAACAAACAATAAGTAATAATAACAAGGTATTACATATTTTTACATCGTCTTCTATATTATTCACTTATTTGTCTCTGCATATATGAAACATTGATTAATTATACATGCAATTGAAGTGTTGGGGAAAAATATTTTCAATAAACAAAAAAAAGCAGCTTGCAGACAGTGATTTCATTTCCCAGACGATT